AGAAGCAGTTCAGGAATTTTCTTATCACAAATGAAGTATATTATTGATTTGTTGCACGAAACCGGCATGTCAGCTTGTCAACTAGTAGCTACACCATTAGAGGAAGGATTGAAGCTTAGTGTTGATCCTAATCAAGTACCAGTTGACAAAAGGAGATACCAAAGGTTAGTAGGTCGTTTAATGTACTTGGCACACACAAGACCGAACCTTGCTTATGCCTTAAGTGTAGTGAGTCAATACATGCATGATCCCGGAGAACAACATATGAATGCAATGATACGAATTTTGAGATATTTGAAAGGAAGTCCCGGCAAAAGAATTTTGCTTAAAAGGAATGATCATCTTAGAGTTCAAGGTTATACTGATGCAGATTGGGCAGGTTCGATTGACGATAGGAGCTCAACATCAGGTTACTTTACATTTGTTGGGGGTAACTTGGTTACATGGAGAAGTAAGAAACAGAATGTGGTTGCCCGTTCCAGTGCAGAAGCTGAATATAGAGGTATGGCTTTGGGGATTTGTGAAATTATGTGGCTTAGGCTCCTGCTTCGCAATTTGGATATACTACATGATCAGCCCATGAAATTATTTTGTGATAATAAAGCTATCTATGACATTGCACATAATCCGGTACAACATGATAGAACAAAGCATGTTAAAGTTGATCGGTTCTTCATCAAAGAAAAATTAGAAGGAAAAATAATTGAGCTACCGACAATAAAAACAGAAGATCAGTTGGCAGATATCCTCACGAAAGTTGTTTCAAGTCATAAGTTTTCAAGTTTCTTACATAAGTTGGGCATGAGTAACATATATGCACCAACTTGAGGGGGAGTGTTGACTTTGTATTTTAGGTAGGATTCCTAATTGATATCAATTCCGTGTAATCTCTTGTAATCTTGTGTAATTAGTTTTCTTCGTATTACATTAGGGTTGTACACCTTGTATAAATACCTCTCATTGAGAAGAATAAAATATTATTCAAAGCATTCTCTACTAGTCCCCCATCGCGGATTTACCAAGCAGGACTATATCCTATAGGATTAGGTAGTGATCACTCATTGCGGATATACTAAGCATGCTCACTCTTATAATGCATATGGACCCTCATCGCGAATATACCAAGCAGAACCATATGCACAATCTAATCGTGTAGGCAGTGATCACCCATCGTGTATATAACAAACATGATCACTCCTAAAATATGTATGATCCCCCATCACAAATATACAAAACAGGACCATCCATGTACCACTGCTACATGGTGCAGTTGCATTTGCGCACAACCTACCCCTACATCAACACCTATGCTTTACAATGTAAGTAAATACAACAGCAATTTCTCATACAACCAAATATCTTTTCATCAATACATACAAGTTGTATAGAATACCTCTCATTTAGAAGTGAAAAGGAATACCACTTGATCTTAGTACAAAGTAGCACTTAGAATTATACTTGGACCAAAAAAAATAAACAATGAAAACACAAAATTTAGTTAACCAATTAAAGTAAACACTTTCATATAACATATTACATTGACGACAACAATTTTTCACCATCAATGATTATGAAAACAAATACCAATAACATTCTATCATAATTCGTACACTTATTGAAGTTTACTATAATATGCTATTCGGAGCCACAGCATACAGCCTCGAGTAAACACACTGGCTAGAGTCCTCCCAATTACTTCCACCAATTCCAAAATATATTATATCAATACAAATGAAAGACAAAAGAAACATTAACTTAATCCCAATTTGGGTAATCATTTAAAAACGTACTTTACGACGCCAGCAAGATGGACATTCAGAAAGTAGTCTTCCCAATTTATGCACTTTGGGTCAAAGTAAAATATATCTGCCTCTGTGGTGTTTCCTCTTACTGCCATTTGCAGCTTCTCTGTGTTCATATCATCGAAGCTGTATGCAATAATTAGTTCATAGTTAGTTAGGTCTCACAATATGGATCAAAATAATCTTTCAAGATCAATGGCATGAAGTACATAAGGAAAATCACATATACATACACTCCCTTGAAGAACAAGTATGGCCTGTAAAGCTCCACCAGTCTCATCACAAATTTGATCTTTCTACTGACATCCACGTACGTGCCCTTGAAGTATTGGCAAAATGCTGCATTAACCACTTCCAATCCCTGTTGTGTTGGAAAAATTAGACAAAGAATACAATATCAAAATAGACACAGAGAACTCAAGGGGCTACTTTTACATACTTTTAGAGAAAGTAAAAGGTAAAATAAGACTCGATGGGGAACCTCTAGATGATGGAACCAGACATGTTCTCATGTCGTGCTACGAGTCCCGCTAAAATACCATAGCATGTGCATTTAACATCTAACTTTAAACCACAAGCGGTCAACCTGAATTTCATTACACGTGTTATAATTTATATTGACTCGCAATGCCACGCCAGCACTTGACCTCACAGTTTTCTTGGTTACGTTCGTCGACAAGCTGTGATTGAAAAATATTATTATGGATGCAGAAGAATATGTAGAACCAATTACCTTTAGGAAAAGTAAGTAACGGACAGTCATGTATCTGTGAAAGCTAGCCATGCTGCCCATAATTGGAACCTTGCCAACCTTAACTGGCGTCCATCTTTATTAATCCATGGTTTCTTGGTGAAGAAATGGACTCCATAATCGTAAAGATTACCATATCTTACAGGATTTCTCCTAGAGGATCCTACTTGATAAATTACTTCACCAGGTTGGTTTGCATGGGCTGCCATTGCAGCAAGTATTGCATTCACAACCATGTCAGCTGGTATCTGCACGATGTTTATATAAGTAATATATCATCAAATGTTTTGTAAATGCTTAAGAATATAAATGAAAGATAAGCACTAATTAAGTAGAATTTCTTTTTCTTTTCTTTATTGGGCTAATGAACTTGTTGGCTGACCAACCTAATATTTGTAACAGGTATAATACGACTTCTTTAATGAACATTGTTCGGTTGTTTATATATAGAGCGTCATTCTTCCTTATTTGAAGATCATAGTTTGACATTTATATGAATATATATTTGTAGAAAAGTATGTACACATGTCAATTACATTTTTTTATGAGTACAGATGGATTTTCACATATAGATAGCTACGTAATTTTGTATTTGATTTTAATGTACTCAAACCTTGGAGATAAGAAGGTACGAATAGTAACAAAATGAAGTATTTTGTTAACTCACCACATCAACAATAGCATTAATGTCGCAGAGAAAGAATGTTAATTTTCCTTTAGCATAGCCAACTGCAATGCTATCAATGGTTCTGCATGTGACACAAGTGAACAGATAAAAAAAGTAAATATTTATATAACACCAAAAACTAGTTATATGTTTAAAAATAATAAGAAAGGTTTATTCGTATCGACACACCTGATTCCTTCAACCCAACCAGGAAAAGGTTCTTTGTAAGTGCTGGTGATGATGGTAGGGCGAATAATGACCACAGGTAGATTTTCTTTTAGATCTCCTATTAGCATTCTCCCATTGCCTTGGTAAACACATACGTGTTTGGCCATCCATACTGAATTGCTCTAAGAAAGTAATTTACCAAAAAAGTGCGATTTAGAATTTGCATCGTTTGGATTTCAATAGTTTACATAACTACAATCAATTTATCCTACTATAGTTAATAAGAAAGAGGACAAGAAAAATTAATAAACAAATTTAGATATATAATATTCAGCAGATTTCATAACTTTACAATGCACACTAGGTATAGTTCAGTAGATTTATCATGAGATAGTGATTTTCAGCCACCGTTCTCTCGTTCTACACTCTCTTATTTATTTATATTCACGTTGATTTTTTCTTATTTGTTCAAAAAATATTGTCAAGATAAACATGAACGCGTAGAAGGACAAAAGGTGTATGGAAATCCTTCCTTGTTATAATTCATTATATCTATTTATCCTTATAATTCATTATATCTATTTATCCTAATTTGCTTCAAAGTATAAATTATTAGATAAAAGGTTGACAAAGAGTTTGAACCACATTAGTGTTAACTCACTGTTAGGCTTAGTCCACTTCCCCACCTCTTAATATAGATATCGTTTGTTAAAAAAGAAGTTCGACAGAGAGTTCATGCTTTTGATAAGACTACTAAGGCATAGAGTGGTATGTGTTCTTTATTGTATTAACTGTTTCTTCGTAAGATTAGTTTCAAGGGCGCAATTAATCCAGATAGAACTCACAATGTTTGTTGCAAATACATACAGAAAAAAAAAAATTAATTTTAATTGCTAAATGATTAGGTTTTGAGTATTTTAAATATGTCAACTTCTTTTTTTTTTTTTAAAGTAAAAACTAACATGCAGGTGATAAATGATCTGTTTGAAAGAAAAAAAAAAGGAGTGATGCTAGGAATGCCACATTTTTATACTATACTATGTAATAAGTGATGAATAAAACCAATGTTCAATTAAATAAATTTATTCATTGATGTGGCATGTACACATCATTTGTCACATGAGATGGTATATCAAAAATGTTACACTTGCAACATTTTTCATATGACACTTGTACCACCGCTCAAATAGAAATGAGATCTACATATGTGGTTGGGCTCTACTTTTATTAAAGAAATTATATAAATATGATATAAAAAATATAATAAGTGTATCATTCCTACAAAGATATTAATATCTGATGTGTTTGACTTATGTCTCAATACACAAGGGCCAACCTCTATTAGATGTGTGATACAAACATAATATAAAAATAGGATAATATTAGAGATATCAAATTTTATAAACTAAATAATGTGGTAGTTGATGATTTGATTATTAATAGGTATTGATTAACGTGCTTATTTCTTATTGATGACACATCATTTAGTTTAGAAATTTGTTTTAAAACTTTGATCTATTTAACATTATTCTAAAAATATATAATAAATATAACATTCGTAAAAAAATATTAATAACTGATGTGCTTGATTTATATCTCAATCAATGCATACTCCAAGTTTGATGGCAAATCACAGGTCCACCTTTAATTTGGATCAAGATTGTCTGCCCTCCAATTTTTCATTCCTTCCATTGTTCTAGCCATTGATTACATGTTGAGTTAATTTAATGCTCTAGATTTTATCAGCTCACACATTTTCACTCTCCTTTCTCTTCCTCTTCGCTTCTGCTGCTGCATTCACAGACTAAGAAACATTTTCAGCTGCACAACAACATCCTCCACCAAGAATGCCATGGAATTACGATTTCCGAGTTGCTTTTCGGATTCTAAATCATCGGTTTCCATTTTGCTTCCAAAAAATAATGGGTTTTTAACTAATTTGCTGATTGTTCAAGTGGGAGAGGAAAATTTTGAGAATCAGCAGCCATCAGCAGAAGATTCTCAAAATTTTGGAAGTCAGAATATAAGATTTTGTTGTAACAGAGCCTATAAGGAGCACGATAGCCCCTGTAATTCATCAACCTTTAATTCACAACCTGACCAGAGGATGAAGGTAATATTTAATTCATGATGTTGGCAAACTCGTCAGAAAATCGAGTCCGGAGCTGGCAAACTCACCGGGGCAGAGCCTGAAGTGGCCGCCATACCACTCCTCTCGCTGACATTTCGCGAAGAAGGTATGGAATGCGAAAATTATGCTAAATTTCAGTGCTTTTTGCTGTTTAACTTTATTTTTGTGTTCTTGGGTTTCAGGGTTTGGTTCCTGGTGACAGGGTTCGAAAGCCGGATATGAATCAACTCTCAAATCTATTTAATTTCAGTTTCGATTTCAATGCCTGTTTTGAAATTTATTTCATGATGTTCGAGTTGGGATCTCAAATATCGCCTTTGTGCTTGGATTTATGATGCAAATCTCAAATTTTGTAACTCGTCTAAATTTGGAGCATCAACCATCAGCAGAAGATTCTTAAAATTTTCCTCTCCCACTTGAACAATCAGCAGATTAGTTAAAAACCCATTATTTTTTGGAAGCTAAGAAGGAAACCCATGATTTAGAATCCGAAAAGCAACTCGGAAATTGTATTATAATTCAATGGCATTCTTGGTGGAGGATGTTGTTGTTGTTGTGCAGCTGAAAATGTTTCTTGGTCTGAATGCAGCAGCAGAAGCGAAGTGGAAGAAAAAAAGAGTGAAAATACGTGAGATAGTAAAATCAGGAGCATTAAATTAACTTAACATGAAATCAATGGTTAAAAAAAATAGGAAGGAATGGAAGGGGATGGAAAGATGGGAGGGCACACAATCTTGGTCTCTTTAATTTATCATCTTACCGAAATAGAAAGAATTTTTATCCCAAATGCTCTCACTTTCAAAATCAATTAATGTTGTCTCTAACATTCACTACCACATATCAATTTGGTCCTTCCAATTAAATTCCGTCAATTATTCTGTTAGTTTGTATGTGGGACCCACAAATTCAATAAAATAATGACACGTGGATTACACAAAAGAATGGTTTTTATTGCAAATGATCCGTGATATTGATCAAACTCCTCATTCTGGTCCATAAGTTTCAAAAATCGATAAATTTGGTTCCTGACTTTCAATATCTTGATCTAAGACGAATGCGCTTTTTCAAGCTTTTTCCAACCCCTCAAATCACTGCCTTTCACTCGGGCTTTCGGTCACTTAGAAACCTGGAAAGAAGACGGAGTCAACGATTGGACTTTTTTCATTCACTTAATTGGTGCATCTCATATGATGTTTTCCTTTGGCTGAGAGATAGAGCAGCAACGTCCATTTCAATTATCACGAGTTGCTGAGTGAATTGATGGATTCATTTTGACTCTTATTATATATGTTATGAATCGCGTGTTTACCATCTATCCCAAGCTACCTAGACAGAACAGGCGCACCTTTTCATCTTTTCTACTAATGTGATATGCGATCTCAACCTTTGAATCCCCGGATGTAATGTTCGAACGGTGCCGCACCCTAGCGGCTTGTGAACTATTTCACCTTGATCCTACCTTTTGGGCATTCATTTTAATAAGTCACATCAATTGAGTCCTCCCATTAAAATTTCGTAAATATTTTTTGTCAGTGTGTTGATGTGGTCCCACTAATCCAATCATATGACACCAAGTAGATTATTTATATGAAACTATTTTTTTTAGGAAGATCCAACTGATGAATATTCCACACTGGCATTTCTCTCGCATCCCACAATTCCAGTTGGAAAGAAAAAAAATGCAATCCAAATTCAATTCAAATTTGATAGGATTATAATCAACTGGATAGAATGAGGAGTGAGGCTGGGAGGTTAAGAGCTTTAGTAGGGTCATGGTGCCTTCCTTTTCTTTTTGAGCATATCTAGATGATGACAATGATGTCTCTTTTTTACCTTTTAGTTTTAGTTTTAAATTTCTTATTTTACTTTTAGTTTTAAATCTTAAAAAGATTTTTTTTTATATAGTTAACTCATGTGGTGCCATATGATTAGATTAATGGGACCATATTATCACACTAACAAAAAATATTGAATTGATGTGAGGTAGAAAAAGTCAGGAACTAAATTTATTGATTTTTGAAACTCAATGACCAAAATGAAGTGTTTGATCAATGTTAGGGACAATTTGTGATAAAAACCATTTTTTGTATAATCTATGTGTCACTATTTTATTGGATTTGTGGGTCCTACATCTAAAACTACATTTATGAAACCCTCTTTGTCAACCAAAAGAGAGGAAAAAGACTATTTAGTCTCTTATTACACAAAAAAAATGATAGGCAATAATGTAAAAATATCTTCAATATTTAAAATTACAAAAAAAAACCAAAAACAAAAACCTCTCACTCCCCCCCCCCCAAAAACGTTCTCTCTCCCTCTCTCCTTCCCATTTTTCTAAAAAAAAATTCGTTTATACACACAAAGTGTGTAGGCAAATGTTAGTACAAATTAACAAAATAATTGACGGATTCTAAACAGAATGACCAAATTGATGTGAGATAGTGAATGTCAATGACGACATTGATTGATTTTGAAAGTGAGTAACTAAAATGATAAGTTTGGTCAATCTCATGAACCATTGGTGATAAAAACCTAAAAAAAAAAACCCTTTTTGACTCTGAGGTATCATTGCCCTCACCATATTTGTTTCACTATTCTTTCTTTTGTTGTTTTTTAAAGATAAACTCTTGCAACTCTTATTTTATAAACATAAACTTACCGACCTTTTAGACTCTAAATAAAACCCAAAATTTAATCTAAGTTACAAGCTAGAGAAATAGTTGACCTATTATTACAAATTATTTAAAACATGTGATACCATTCCCCAATCATGTCAATGAATGTAACTTACAACTTGTCTTGAAAGAAATTATAAGTACACTCTTTTCATACTCTTTTCATACACCAATATATATTACAACTAAAAGACGAGGGAATAATAGACAAATTATTTTAGGACATCACATGATACTTTTTCCAGAATAACATAAGACAATTTTTCTTTGGTCGGCTTTTAACTTAATGTACCTACCTAATATTTACATGCACACTAATTACTATTTTTAATGTCCACTAATTTACCTATATTTACAAGCACAATAATTACATAGATGCATATAATAAATTAATTTCAAACAAAAATATAGGAAGCAAGAATAATTGTGAAATTTGGAATAGGAAAAGAAATGGCACAATGCAATGCGCAATCCCACACTTAACACAACTAATGACTAATTAGCCAATTTACAATAATTGACGGTAAATAAAAATAATTAAATCCAATTGATATTAATAGGGGTATTTCGGCATTCGGAACATATAAATTAATTGAATTCAAGCTTCATTAAGGAATTTGTTTATATGGATTCTAGTCATCTGGGTTTTAATCAAGTAAAAAAATTATGTTAAGTTTTAGGTAAAGAAAATTAAGTTTGTGGGGCCAAAGTCATATTTTCATTTATTATAATGAATCATATCAATAATTCTTCACGGAATTTTATTTCTTGAATTTTTATTTAATGTTCATGGAAGATGTAAACGTTGATATTTGAATTAAGGGAAATTTTATTTGGACTCATATAACCTCTTTTTACATCCAACTTAAACTTTAAATATAAATTTTCTTTCTTACCCTATTGCATAATTACTGTCAAGTACAAGATGAAATGAACAATAAAACCAAAATTTATCAATAGACCAATATATACCCAATAATCAATCTACTTCTTGCTACCATCTGGTAATGTGTCGTGCCTTCATCGCACTAGCTCGATGTTACTTCTGAGTTTTTACACGCTTATGTTATTGTTTATGGATTCGAAGCAACCAAGGATTCTTCAAACTTCATATCACATGATCAATGAAAAGTTGATCCAACGGACCATGTGAAACTTTTGGATTTTGTACTAAATATTGGAGGGACTGGCTGATCCAATTTTGATCAGTTGCAAAAAAACGCATACTGATTGAACAAAAATAAAATAAAAATATATGGGATTTAAATATTTAATTTTTTTAATCATCTATATGGGATTAAGCAAAATCAACAGATGAAAGATAAATTAAAACAGATATGGGATTGAGTAAAATCAGCAAAAAAGAAGGATTACGCATGAGACAAATATGTGAGAGATATTGTTGTCTTTATGCCTTGAATGAATTTCAAAACATTGATTTTGTTTTTTATTTTTTAAATGGCTGTAAAGATAAATTTATATATCAAATTGTGTTTGTGAGGGTAGTTTAGGTAGTAAGTTTGGGTTTAAAGAGATATTAATAGTTTAGTTAAAAATAATATGGGTGTGGAGAATAAATTAGGTGTAAAAAGAGGTTGTATGAGTTCAAATAAATTTTTTCTTGAATTAATTGAATGAAAGCTATCAGTTGACAACAATAAATATCTTTAGGGAAACAGTAAACCCAAGCCAAGAATATAAGGGCAACAACTTATATGATACGGGTACACCTCAAGTGGTATTCTGCTATGTCATTCTCATATTTTTATTTTTATTTTGAAACAAAGAAGTAATTTATTGAAGAGAGAAACCCCGAATACAACCATTCCCTACATAATCAAAGCGAAAAGTATCAAAAGCAAAGGAGAGAGTACAATGATCCCAAATATGACAATCAGTAATAAGAAGGCTCTGGCAAGCAAAAGCATCGGCAAAATTTGCACATATGTTGCCTACTGAAACCATATGTCATGTATAATATGATTAATATCTTATTATTCTTTCTTTTAATTTTGATAGTTTTACTCGTGAATTGATGGCTGCCTTTGTGCCTTTGAACGACAGGATACTGTATAGCACCAAAAACAATCACTCAATCTGGCTACTAATCAAAGATGGTCAACCTTAAACACCATAAATTAAAGCTACCATGAACACTTAACGTTTAAGGCTCACAGGTATAAGTCTAGTTGTCCTAGTTCAACGGTATAGCTTAGGTTAAGCTTTAGACCAGGTCTAAACAAACAATAAACTGATCCGAGGACTTCCATCACAGCATATACATTGTCATCGTAGCATGCATGTCAAAATTTCTAATGAGTTCAAAGTGTTTAAGCGAACAAACAAGTGAAAGAAGAAGGAGCTCGGGAGATTTTTTTTTTTTTTTTTTTGACAAACCTTTTGAGTCCAAAGTCTTTGAGGGCGAGAGTGATTGCTCGTTCTGATGCTTCCTCCGCTCGGAGTTCTTTCAGTTTTTCGTGGACCAGCCTGATTTCATTGTCTATATCCAGACCTGTGGTCCCATTGAGTGTCTCACCCATGTGGTATGGGTTTTCCAATAGAAGTCCCTCCTTTTCGCCGCAAACATAAGCTGAAATCATAAAACAGCAGAAAGTGGGATAATGAATAAGGATTATGATATGTTCAAAGGTTCAATTTTAGCTAAAAAAATGTTAAAAATTCGCTCAACATAAAAAGTTCAGATTGAAGAAAGTTGGAGTTCCACCAAACTAATTGGCTATATGGAGAATAGTTCAATCTCTTATAAGCTCTTGCAAGGTTTCTCCTTTCACTAATGTGGGACTATTTTACCTTCACATCCTCGCGTGTCCCCTCACGTGTGGCGATTTTTCAAGCCAAACATGTGGACAACACGAAT